TAACTTTTCTTTAAGCGGCTAATGTACTAGGTATCCAGGAATGCAAAGGATTGTGTTCACGTATTGCAGTAGGCCACAGTTTCCTTAACCCTGATATATTTAAAAAAAAAACAAAAAACCCACAACGGACTAAATTTATACATGTTAAGCCATAAAATATAATTTAAAAACCATTGCTGGGTTTCCACAACATGCTAAATTAAAATGAAATAACCACATTATACTTTAACATGTTACATAAACCCAATCTGATTATCAGAGTTATTTAAGCATTAGCTTAGGCACCACATAAAACAGATTAATTGCCTCTTTCTGCATGCAAGCCATCCATGCTTTTATATTTTTGTGATCTTATAAGAAAACAAAATATGTGGAAAGGGGAAAAGAGGAAAAATATATTATTATTATTATTATTATTATTATTATTTATTAAATTTGTTATGGCTACCCACTCCAGAAGACTCTGGATGCCTTACAACAAATTTAAAAATTTAAAAACACAGTAACAAAACATAACAGCCTGGAGTAAAAAGCAACCTAACAATAAAAAACAAACACAAACAACAGGGACTCCACAAACACAGTGGCCCCAGGCCTAATAAATCAAATGTAAACCACATTTTCTTCCACAATATTAAAGAAATAAAAGAAGTTTATATACCTGAGGGATATATTTACCTTCAGTTTTGTTTCTATCAGTTCCTTGCTAGTAATAATGGTTGTCACCTCAGTTTCATTTAATCCATGTACTATTGCAGGGCCTCCCAAAGTAGCATAAAGTGTGACAACTAGTGATATGGAAAGAAACAATACATTTCCTATTGCAAACTTCCAGAATATTTTAAAAATGTATTACATAGTGAAAGTACAAACACAGTATAACAATGCTTTAAATTCAATATTTTGAACTGTAAGAACTTTAGAAGTTCAGAAAGTAATTTGGTTTCACAGGCTACGTTAGCACTCATTTCCTCACTGCAACTGTGTTTCTTCAACACAGAATACCTACAGGTAGTCCTCAGGTTAAGATGGTAATTGGGACCCGAATTTCTGTTGCTAAGCGATGCGGTTGTAAAGCATGACATCATGTGACTGCATTGCTTAGTGACAGCAATCCCAGCAGACCCACTGCATTCGTTAAATGAGAATTATGGGTTGTTAAGCCACTTGCACGTCCTCCCACCCCATGCTGCTATGCTGGGGCGGCTGCAGCTTTGTGCTGGGCTGTGGGAGCTGCGTGCAATAGGAAAGTGGGCAGGAAGTTGCAAGGAGGTCCTGGGCTGGAGTGGCTGGTACCAAGGACACGCTAACAGCTGCTGAAGCCTAACACAAAGCACAGCCACACCATGCAGCACTAAGCCCCAGCCCAGCAGTGTGCAGCCACCTCAGCCCAGAACCACAGCAAAAGCCCCAGCCGCAGCCACTCTCACTGCCCTGCACTCCAAGACCCCTGCCACCCTGCACTCCACCACCCCAGCTGACCTTCATTGTCTTCTTGCTCCCTCTGCTGATAAGGTACAGCCAGCCTGGCCCTTCCCAAGGCCTTCTTCCTGAGGTCTCACAAGGAAATCACCACACACAACCTTGGAAAGAAAGTGTTGCATGGCCAGCAGCTGCTTTGCCAGACTGGGTGCACTTCATCAGCAGTGGCAGCAACAAGATGGTGAAGGCCAGCTGAGGGCAGCAGAGGGTGGCAGGGCCACAGAGGGCAGGGCAGCAGAGCCAGTGAAGCTCAGGGCTGGCAGAGGCACCAGAGTGCAGGGAAGCCAAAAGGGCAGATATGAGGGGGGAGATAGGCAGGTAGGGGGGAGATGAAGTGCCCCTGGAGTTGTAAGTGCAGGCGGACTGCCAAGTGCCTGAATTTTGATCATATGACCGTGGGGGCACTGCAATGGCCATAACTTTGGGGACCAGGCATAACTACCATTCCTTCAGTGCCACCATAACTTCAAACAGTTGAACAAATGGTTGTTAAGCAAGGACTACCTGTATTCCTTTTGACAGGGCAGAATACCATTATGAATTCAGCTTGTTACATCTTTATTTTACTGCAGCATAGAAAAGCACTTGCACAGGTCAATAATGTGAAAGCAGCACAAAAAATAATTCTATCCTCAGATACCTACTTCCTATCGTTACAACTTGGAGTAGAAATGCAATTATTGAAGAGTGAATCAGGGCCATTCACTTTTTCCAAGGATAAACATGATTCCTAAATAATTATCAATGACATAAAACTTAAGAAAGTGTTCTGATCTTATAAGAATTATTTTAAAATTGCAGATTGGTACTGATCATTGTTGCAGGATTGACCTCAGCTGACTTCTTCCTTCCAGCAAAGAGAAGACATCCAACCATTTGGTAGGAAAGAAATTTGTGCGCAGTGCTGGGCATGAGGCTCTTTGCTCCATTTGGGAATTTTGGAAGGCCTACAATGTATGTCCTAAATGAACAATAGGACAGTTTTATAGATAGCAAGCTATACATCTAAGATGCTTATTTGAAATTAAATTCCAGTGTAATCCAGCTGTAGCATACAACCTGATCATCCTATGGAAACTATTACACAATGACTTGCCTTCAGTATGGTAACCATATACAAGGTGTACCAAAAATCAGGCCCATAGGCCAATCACAATATGTTTTATTGATTTTTTTTTCAGAGAAAATGTTACTGTACTTAGAAATGTTCAAAGGTCATGCATCAAATGAGTAAGGAAGTGTTTAGAAGAAAATGGCAACCAACTTGAACATTTAAGTTCACCCTGTAAAATGGCTGCAATATCATTATGCTGACAATAGACATTGAAAGCTATGCTAATGTCTGCCATTACTCAGAAGTCATATCACTGGCTTAGGAACTCTCTGGCCAGGACTGCAGTCTGAATTTGTCAGGAATATGTTATTACAGTGAGGCAGTTTTCACTTTTTCACACATAGTTTACAAACTTGTACATCAGCTCATAATTCCAAATCATTCTGTTTAGCTGCATTTACAGAAATTAAGCTACTTGCAAGGAAACATAATCTTAACATATGTTAAAATAATTCACACTGGAAACAAAACATTGGCTAGCATGCCTCAGATTAAGCCATGTTTTGTTTCAGTTTAACCCTGTTGAATATGCTACAATAGCTCAGTTCATACAACACGCCACTATAAACAATTGGCTAGCCTCACCCAGTGCTACGACCAAATTAAACAAGACTCCTTATGGCTCAGTGGCCCCTAGAGCAATGGAGATTAAGGTGTCAAAATTAGTAGAAAAACATTTCTTTTGAGTTTCAAAACATGCAAAATAGGTGTGATAGAAGACAATGTACAGTATCCACTTTGCAGCTTTAACCCTCCCAATATTAAAAATTGAACAACAGATCCAAAATCTTACCAAGAGCCTGGAAGTTTCACCTGACACTGAACAATTTCTTAAAAACCTTGAAGCCTGAAAAATCTTTAAAAAGAAGGTATGATCCTCATCTAGAGAGTTACCCATAGTTGGCTTCACATGAGATTTGAGCTTAACAACTGGTGCTCACATATAAGCAGATGCAATTAAAACACATTAAATTGATTATTCAATATATAATAGAACAGTTTTGGGTTAACCTGGAAGCCTTATTTGGGCATATACTCTTTCACAAGATTAAAATCATTTGAAGGGAAGCATGGGGATGGACTTGCTCCTCTTTTCTGCACAAAGGGTGACAGCAGTGATAAAGCAGCTTTTGCAAAGAAGAACTCTGAGCTTTGTACTGCACAGAGTCATCCTGACATCCTCCAAAAACAGAAGAAGGAGATATGAATCAGAGAAATCCAAAATTATGGCAGAAACCTACATATGAGGAGGATGCCAAGAATAGAAAGAAGAGGGGCAGGTAACTGAGCTCACTCTCATACTTCACTGATTCCCAAACAGGGCTAAAGAAAGCTTCAAATCCAAAACATTCCATTATCAGGATAGCTCTGTTCTTTCGAAAATGACAGTTATTATAACCTTAAATATTTCTTGTAAAAACCTTAACTGATCTTAAGAACTTATAAATCTGAAAGCATGCATACATTTTTTTGTTTCTACATTTTTTGTTTCTATATAATATTTGTAAGACATCCCTCTCAAGACTCTGGGCAATAAACAACAAAGAAAAATAGATGCAATAATAATGAAATAAAAACAATGCCATATATAATCAACATGAATATATATAATCTATCAATTTGAGCAGAATGTGTAAGTATAATTGCAACTGCCTTGCAGAAGATAAGGATGGAAAGCTGAACAAACCTTGGGGGGAGTGAGGCCATGACTTATGCCCCTAATGGCACCGGAGCACCAAATGCATGCTTAACTAGTGCAGGAGGCCCAGCATTGGTTTCTGGTTCAGTTCCCAGTACAGTTTAAAGTGCTGGTGTTCACCTATACAATACTCCATGATTTGGCAATGGTTAATTTTTAATTAATGGTTTATTAATTGTTACTTTTTAAATGGAAGAAAAGCTACATTATGACCAAAAGCTTTTCCCAGGAAGAACATATTGGCCAAGCTGATTCAAGTAGACCCACCCAGTTCTATAGGTATGTAAGTGCCAAGCCATATATGGTGTGGTAAGTCAAAACCAGCACTTTGAACTGAACTTGGAAGCATACTGGAAACAATATACGGCTCAAATCACACTGCTGCATTCCATGTGGCCTTCCATGTGGCCTTCCAAAGCAGCCATGTGTACTATTAATACGGTAGCCTAAGGTAGAAGTGATGAGGGTATGAGTCACCCTTGTTATGTTCCACTGAGGGCTCAAACTGAGAGTTATTATTTGATAATGTAGAAGTTTTGGCAAGTTCTTGGTTCCCAATATGGTAGAAATGTTATGATCTGTCCAGCACTTTAAGTGGTTAAACATCTATGGGCTTTACTGGGAAAGACATTAAAATTTGTTTTCAGATCTCATGAGAAACTGAATCAGCCTCTCATTTTCCAGCCTCAATCCCTCACCTTAGCTTTAGTTGTTATTGTTACTTCACTGATAATGCTGGAAACAGTGATATTTCCTATTCTTCTATCAATTGCTCTTGCCAATGCAGATCACCTCCAGCCAGCCATTCATTTGTTCTCCAAGAACCTGGGTATTTGGAGCATTAGGAGAAAAGTACTTTTCAAAAGTCTTTTGTTCCAGTGTAATGACAAAACTATTTTCTTTGGAAATAAGGAGCTGGGGCAGGGCATGTATTTTATACGGAATTCCAAATTGTTGCAAAGCAAATGCACGTTTCTTCAACTTGGTGGGAGTATAGTACAAAAAACTGTCTTTGTTAGTTCCTGTGTGCTGCTTGTGCTTATTCCAGTGACCCTTATTACGTAAACATAAGACTTTCCTAGCCAGCTGTCAGCAAGCTATAGCAGAAAAAATACAATCTCTTAAATAATGGTATAAAACACCTAAAAAGTAGCGAGGAATGAACCAAAAACAATCAGTGGGTAACAAAGTCAAAAAGTAGTCCATGGCCTAGTGATGTCATGGAACAAGAGGCAAGACAAACTACAGTAACCGGAAGCCAAATTTGCAGAGTCTGATCTACCGAGTTGCCACTTAGCACTGTGCATAAGCCTTTTCCATGCACACATGGCAAAAATAAAAGCAACAAGGAACTGTATCAATAAAGGCCATTAGGTTAATATTTGTTTCTTTCTAGCAGTAATTCAGGATAAAAAGAAAACTCATGAAAAACTATGCACAGCACCAGAAGAGAGGCACTCCAAGCTCCCTTCCAGTTGTGACAGCAATATTTAGTATGCTTAATATGGCCTTTATCTTGGCTGCAAAAATATATAGTCAGGCTGGC